ACTCTTTGATCATTCCCATATTGATTTCAATTTAAGAGCCACCGGTATACAGCTGTTTCAGCCTATTGGGCATCGTCAGTACCGGGCAGGCGGTCTTCGATTGAAGACAAAATGAGAAAAAACCAAGAAAGTACTTGATAAAAATAGCAAGCGAAACATAAGTGGAATAAAAATATGAAATCATCGTTTTGTTGGATATCATGTGGATTATTTTGTTTCCAGATGGGCACCATGCAATCCTTAAACGCATCGACAGTCCCGTCTCTAGCGGGCTCTCGCCCAACGACCCCCCACAGTACAGTTTCGACGATGCCGGCTTAGAAGAGATACCTCTTGACACTACACCAGTATACTCGTGGCCACAAAAACCTAAAACTTCAGTCGTTTCAACTATATATTAATGTGTTATCATATAATAGTTGATAGATTGGGAATTCAATATTTCAGTTTCTTCTGAAATGTTATTTTTGTAATAGGTATGCAATTTATAAAATATTTGAGTATAATTTATGACTTCTCAAATTCAAGTATCTCATAACATTCTCCAATTCTGAATGCTGACCCTTTTTCCGATTTAATTTCATCAGGTAAGTTGTTTTTTGCTGCTTCTGTACTGTCCTCATCAAGTTCTAGATGGATTTCACCCTTCAGTATTTTCAGGCGCTCTTCCAACTGTAACCTAGCATACTCGATATTGGAAATTTCTCGTTCTTTGGCTTCAATTTTAGTTTCTAGTGACTCCAGAGTTTGATCTGAAGTTTGCAATACAACATATGAATCCGGGAATGCCGAATGTTTCACATAGTACTCTCCTGTGTGAACTATCTTTCCCTTCATAAATATGTTTTTTGCCAAGGGAATTAATGATTCCTTCTCTGGATATACTGATAAAGTTTTAACATGCTCTACAAGGTTTTTCAACTCTTCTTTCTCTTTAAGGCATTCTGCTAATGCTATGTCGTTTTTAACTAAATCTTCGCCCAAATGGCCTTTATATTTATTTCGAGAGGTTACAAATTTCGAAATATCAATACCTTCCATTGCTAGGTTAAATTAAATTAGACTTACAGTCAGTGTTGCCACAAGCCATTTTTTCATCGAGGTAGATTTCTGGATGGGGTGGATCCACATTCACATGATGACACCAATCACAGTGACGTATACCTATGATTGTCGTTCTTTGTTCTATGATAAATTTGACGATCGTAATCAAAAACATGTCAAATGTCATTGTAACCAAATTGGGGATCGATGTGTTTTCAAACCATTCCTCGAAAATATTAGCTTCCATGTTCTTATGATAGTTAACATTGCATTCCTCAATTTTTTTCCATATCCTTTATTTCCTCCGCAATGATCATTGATTAGTCGCGATCCTTTGTTTGCAGGCTTGTTTGGCGTACACATTCTCGAACCATCAGTCCACCCTTTCGCAACTGTGTGTTTGTTAATTATTTCAAATCTAAATCCTAGTTTCTTTATCCAATTCTGAAGAGTTTTGTCACAGCAGCTCACGTTATGGCCGGAAGTATTCAATTCATTCCTTATGATTTCAATGTAGGAATCTCATTGATTTTGTGACAGTCGTATAATGTTTTTTCAATGATTTTATTGGATGAAGATCTAAAGGTTGTGGTAATCCTGTATCACATCGCGTCTTGCGTCCAAAAGTTTGTTTGAGGAAGTTGTTTGAGCACAGTTGAGGAAGGAGTTTCGGTCAAATCTTATGTTGCTTGTAATAGTTTGTTTCCCTCGAAACCAAACTTGAGATGTAGATTCTTATATACATTGAAACATACTCTCTGTGCTTCAATATTCAAATGCATCGGAATCTTATTCACTGGTATCTCTTCTTCGCATTGTTCACCATCGCTATTGGAATCACTACACTGGAAAAAGTCTGCGTTGTTATGACACTCGTTATTACTATTAGTACTTGTCCAAAGACGCCACATTTTAAATAGATAACAAAAATTTTAAGTAAATATAACTGCACCAATATCAAATTTCAACACTCAAATCGCAATCAGTTCCTGAAATGAACACGAAGGCGATAACCACAGGCCGCACTCTATTCGTCACCGTTACGTGACCTCAAATTTAATTTTATGACTCTTCAGCCAATCACAAAACTCGGTTAGTAAAAATTATCCATTACGAAACGTGTCTACAGTCCACACAGAAATGCTGCCGGTTCGTTTCTATGTGTTGGTTTTTATGACCTTTGAGGGTGCCGTCAACTTCAATAGTGTACAATATCGGTTACTTTGACTATACATATAACATCACTGACGAAGATTGCACATAATGTAAACATTTACGTTATCAACTCAAACTAGAAATATAGAATATCATGTCATAAACATCAAAAACGCAGTAGATTCAAAATCAAACCTAAATATTTGTTGATTTTTTAAATTTTTATTTTACATTCTTTTGCTTTATATCTGAGCGGGGTAGATTTACTCGGGGGAAGCGAGAGGGTGAAATTAAGTTCAAGAGGGGTAGAACTACCCCGTACGGGGTAGCTGTGGCAACAGTGCTTACAGTCAGCGTTACCAACATGGTATGATGCGAAATCATTAATAAAATTGTACATTTCCAAAAATTGCCTTAAACACGTACACTGTTAGAAAATTTTACGAAGACCTCATTGACCATAATTGTCTAAAAACCGCAGTTTAGTGAGGTGGATGAAGAAACCTTAAAAGCACGGCAAAAACAGACAACTATATAATTTCAAAAAAGACGTAACGATTCAGCACATGACAGAGTTGAACTTTACCAAAGACGAGTTACAGCCACAGATGCCGTGTGGTTACGACCTTACTAAACTTTATATGTTAAATGCAACTGGTTTTATTCTTCATTACGCTCCTGGGGGCAGATCATAAAAGAGAGCGAAACAATTTTTGCTAGAAAGTTGTCACTTAAATTTTTTCAGGTTATTTGGCGATTTTTTACATTAATAATGTTCAGATTTCGAAATATTCTAGGTGAGAAGATTTTAAATGAACACTATGCTTGAAACATATATATTATGTGCACATAATAACCTCTATTCATCCTCAAGGTGACCTACTCAAGATCAAGCAGAATCGACATCCAGTACTCACTACTGGACCATAGCAGGATGGTCTCTTCACCAGGGACCGTCGAAAAACAAGCGCACGCCAACATCATCGAAGTAACTCTAGCGAAGCAGGATTTCATCAATTCGATTTTTTTATTGTAACAAAATTGGTGCAGTCAGTAGGATGCCAGGCGTTAGTCAGTGCTCATTGGGTGTACCCATAAATACGAACTTAGTTACAAATTTGTAGTTACTATTAACTGGTCAACTTGACATAATATTGTATAATTTTTGTAACTCAGAGGTAACGATCTTTTCCCTTCTTCAAATAGATTGAAGTTTTTAAAAAATTAAATTATTTTTCCCAAGTGAATTACTTCGATTTGATTCATATCGCACTCTAGCACTTATACCAAACCGATATACAGCAAGCGCCAAACGTGATAGCGAGCCCGCCTCCATGCGCACGAACTCATTTTCAATATAATCGCCACTACAGCTCTTGTGAGACATTAAAATGCTCTGTACAGGGGCGTATCATTACTTGTCCTCCAATGCTGTTGACGTTTGGCATTGTCTGAAAAATTTGTGTTGTTTCTGAAAAAATGTCATCGCCTAACAAAAAACCAGTCGTCAAGAGTGTATCATTATGAAACATTTTATGGATCTGTACTACTACCTATAGTACTAAATAAAATATGGAAAGAAATTACAAAGCAGTCATGTTCCATTTGCAATTAAAACGAATTATATGTATGACATTTAGTTGAGAGAGTCTATACCTGCACGACCGCTCGCCATCACGTTTGGCGCTTGCTATACATTATTGATGTTTCCATTACATTTTATTTTCAATATTTTCCGTGTGATGATTTACAAATAGGTGTAAGCTACTTTATTCAACATTACATAAAAAATCTAAAGTATACATTCGTCATCAGATGTAATACTTGAAATCGGGTTTTTCTAAAAGTTACTAGATCGGAGTGAGCTGTGCGAGGATTCGAAATATTTTGTGCGATTTCCATTGGCAATACGGGTCAGCTGTTTCTGTAGGTAATGTTTGTATCGTCTGAACTCGAACTCAATTTGCTGTTTGAAACTCGTTTTTGTAGTATTCATTTTATAGTCCAATTTGTGTGCAGCAGACATGATTTTTTTTCTGTATTGGCTACACTGTGTATTTGTCATTGGTGCCAATTGTCATATAGAAGGTACATTCGGATTCGCCACTGGGTCGATTCTAGGTCGGTTCAAAATAGGTACACTACCGGACTCACGCAAAACTTTCTACGTTTCAACTGAGCGAGCGTTTTTTAATATTCTAAGACTGTTCCGATGACCCGAATACACTGATAGTTGGAATTTATATTGTACATGAGTTTTATTTGTTGTTTTCACTAGGTATATTCATTTCACATTAATATTATCAATTATTAGTTGAATTATTAATGTCAACAATTAACTTGACATAGACACTAAAGACAAAAAGTAGCCCACTTAAAAAACTTATATAAGAGGAATCATTAGAAGAAACCTAATATTGTATATAGATTACGCCAGATTATAACTGAATCAAGTAGAATGATTAAAATTTGAGGCAGTTGAGGCAATTTCTATATGAATATGACAGAACGAAAAATTGTAAAAAATACAGTCTGTATTTAAAATTCAAATTGGTTGGTTGACATTCTGTATAGAAATTCTATGAGCATATTGTGATAGCACATTGAAATGTCTTCGCAAATGAAGGAGTCTCATAAAAAAATTTACATTTTTTTCCGGATACGAGGTCTGTTCAAAATATGAGTTGAGTTTTCATTCTTATCCCAAGAAATATTTATATTTCGTCCCCTTCAAAGTAGTCCCCTTCAGATATAATACACTTTGCCAGCGGTTTTTTCAATCCTCGAAGCATTTCTGATATACACTTTTATGTCCTTGAGCTCTCTCAGCGATTCGGGTTTTATCTCTTGGATTTTCGCAAAACGCCGTCCTTTGTAGGTCATCCCTTCATTTTTGGAAACAGAAAAAGTCGCAGGGGGTCAATCTGGTAAATACAGTGGCTGAGGCATGATTTCAGTGTTGTTTTTGGCCAAAAAATCACGAACAAGCAATGACGAGTGAGCAGGTGCATTGTCGTGATGCCAAAGTCATGAATTGTTTTTCCACAATACCCGATATTTTCTTCATATTGCTTCTCGCAAGCGGAATTTAAATTGAAAATAAGAATACTCCTTATTGACCGTACGACCATGCGGTAAGAACGGATGCGCTACGCCACGGTAATGGAAGAAAACGGTGAACAAAATCTTGACATTCGATTGCACTTTGCATGCTTTTTTGTTCGTGGCTCTCCTGGGGCCTTCCATTGGGACGATTAGACTTTGGCGTCATAACCATATGTCCATGATTCATCACCAGTTACTTATGACCTTTTAAAGCAAACCTGGATTGCCGTTGACGTCATTCAACAATTCCTGAGCGATACTCATGCGACGGTTTTATTTGGTAAAAAATCAGCAATTTTGGAACGAACTTCGCTGCCACACGCCACAGAACCCCCCTTACTACAACATGCTTCATGTCCAAAATTTCCGAAAAAATTACATGGCATATGAACCAACCGACATAGTAATTCGATGATTCTCCATAACAATTTTTTTAATTCCTCAACACTTCGCTTATTGACATGCTGGGGTTTCAAGAGCGAGCTTCGCCATTAACATATTCCCAACCTTCTGTAAAAAGCTTCATTTTTAAACAATTTTGTGACTCAGAATACAATCACCATATGCCACTCTCAACATTTCGAGAGTTTTTGAGCACTTGATCCAAATTTTTACATAAAATTTGATGCAAGTTCTATGATCCATTTTTTTCGTTAGGAGAAAATCCCAGAGCACTTCTAACTTTTATGCCTCTCATTAACAAACTAATCAGATAAAACTGAACATATGTTTGCGACGAGTGTACATAAAAAAATCACTAATCGAATTTACGTAGCATATTTTTTCAACAGACCTCGTATATTAGAGTTTATTTATTGTTATCATTAATAATAATAATAATGATAAATGCTTTATTGAAAGATTACTCAGTACAAGAGATACTAACCTAACCTAACAAATGGCGGTATTCAAAATCTCTTCCATCCAATAGTAAAATAGTAATTTTCCTACAGTTTAACTGACTCCCTTTCTCTTACCGTTAAGATCCCTATGCATAGAATCGAATTTGAGTACCCCAATATATCAATCAAAAAAAAGATTGACAAGGAGCACTATCCTTAAAATAAGCATTTAATACTTAGGAACAAGTAACGCAAAGCAAATCACTATTTTAATAAAATGGGTTTAATAAAGGTAGAGGTGTAGTTACACTTGATCTGCGTAAATACTACACAGATGGTTAATGTAGTTCACCGAATGTTATATACTCATGTAAACACGGGCAGCTAGTTTTTTCAGAAATGCTTTCATCTTGGATGTTCAGAGCAGTCTCAACATCCAAGATGAAAGCACCTCTGAAGAATTATCCGCATTAGGAAGCAGTTCCGCATTACGACGGCCCTCAAATCCGACAAGATATACTGATAGAATATGAGACTATGGCCGCGAAAGCCTACCGATTTCCGTGGTGTTTTTATTTTTCATCAAAGGCACACCAAACGAAGCAGCTGTCAAGTTGGTGTTAATGAAATCATTTCATTTTGTAACCTATCTCTTCTGCAATTTTTGGTAATCATGAAATGTTTCATTGTTCTAAGTTCAGCCCCTCCTTCTCCCGAATCAAAATCCTAGTTTCATTTTCAAGAAAACTTCTTAATTGTCTTTAAACGTTGACGAATATTTTGAATGTTTCTGATGATTACAGCAAGGTTGGTTATTTCTATACTAAAGACAACATCAAGAAAAGACTTATTAGCTTCAAACAAACTGATCCCTTCCGGATGTCAAATGTATTAAGAAAATAAAAGAATAATTACGTTGAAAAACTTTTCAACATTGGCAAACTTTATTAAAAATAGGAATGGTTGGAATATCTATATACAAATATTACAAAATGAAATAACAAATTAGAAAAAAAAACAAAAAACATTTTTGGCTTCTTTCTCATACAGTAGACTCATATCTGTTTTTATTTACACAGTAAATAAATATTTTTTCAATTCTCAATAAGATATAACAAAATAAGGAATTTTCAATTTCAGCTAATTATTAAAATACAATCCAAAAATCAAACAATTAAATTTTGGCGTTTGGGTTTGAGTGTACTTGAAATTCTTGAAAATAATTTTAGTTCATCAATTTTGTGAAGAATGTGTGATAAACTCTACTGTATAAGAAATATTATTCACAATTCAAATTTTTTAGTCTTTACTATTTTTGGTATTTTTATTTTTATGTATTCTCTTGTGATAGGATTGCGCAAAAGAATTAACAATTGATATAACGAAATAAAGCACCATGAACATAACAAATATTTCAAAAATTGAACTCAAAATATTTCCACTTCCACCACTCACAGTTCCGGCAGTATTTTTGTGTAACTTCTGTTTCTGTCCATCCAAAAATGCTTTGAATGGAATTTGCAGTTTATCACCTATAATAGGAACTACCTTCAGCCATTCTAAGGCCGTCTGAATCAAAGTTTCGTTGAATGCAATTATAACAAACATTTTCTGTATGTGCATCTTGATAATAGCTTTACCAATCAACGTTGCACCAAAAAATGTCCAAAAAGGCACTAAGAAATGTCCACAAGTAATCCCAGCTAAATCGAAGAGAGGATTTGGAATCTGCAAATAAATATAAAGAAGCATTAGCTAAGATGAAAAAAATTTTTGTTAAAAAAAAACTTACACTGGCACAAGCCAATATTCCTAAAAATCCGACTTTTTGGACAGTTTCTTCTACAAATAGTTTTACCCTTTCTATCAGAGTCAATGAATCTCTATTATTTTTCTTCTTTTCAAGTTCTTCTAATTCCTTCAAATCATCGTCATCATCAGGATCAATTCTATAATAATATTCATCAAATTGGAAATCAGATAAATAAAACGAAGAAAGCTTCAATATATTATGATACTAACCCTGACAATCTAGAAGTTCTAGCCATGAAGTAAGGGGGCAGTTCTCCTAAAGCTGTCCCAGCTCCCCAGCACATAGCCTCTATTCTAACTTTTGACATAATACTCAAGATTGTTATCGACAATGGATCCCTTTCGCTCGGACAAACTATTCTGAAATTGAATGAGGATTGCTGAATGTTGTCGAATATTTGTCAAAAAGAAAAAATATACAAAACATTAAAATAAACTTACTCATCAGGATAAGGAGGTTCTGGAAAGTTGAGGCTTTCACATTCATATGCTGCTAAAGTAACTTGAGCTATGAAAGGTCCTAAGTAGAGTAGAAATGTATGAAGTCCTGTTCCTAAACCTACCGATGACAGTATGCCTAAAAATAAACATAAAAACTGTCAAAAGATATTTGATATCAACATGAAATTATATTTTTTGCATCCTTGACTTCTGATTTAATGGCCAAAGTGTGGAGTTTGTCTTTGTTCACCAAAGTGACACAAGACATTAATTTACTAAAAGTTTTGTTCTAAATTGACACACCGGTAGACAATCATATGATTTAATGAACATATCGATTTTCCTACCCCAAAGGGATGCTTCCAAATTTTTAACTATATAATTATGAATTCACTTTATTATTTCAAAGGAAATTTGAAACTTATTAGAATGATCTTAAAATTTGGTGAAGATCAGTTAAGAATGTTTTTGCTATTAAGAAAAAATAATGATGACCTGATTTCTTTTGTGAATGGTATAAGCATAAGAGTACCAACAATAATATTTACAACGGAGATTGAACAATATGGCGAACTACCTTTCTTTGATGTTATGTTGAAGTTTTTAAATCATATTTAATAAACTGTTCATTAAAAGAAAACACATACTAATAGAAAAATACATACTTCCACTACACATCAAAATATCGTGCAAGCATTAAAAATTGTATAAAAGTAAAAATGATTTGTAAATACAAGAAAAAATTTTGATAAAAAATTTAAACAATAAAATCTATTTTGAAATAGAACCCATATTCGGATTCACTTCTAGGTTCTAAAATGAATGCAATAGAAAATAAACAGTCAATTAAGTACCAAATGACCTTAAGAGAAGATGATTTTATGAAAACCAACACCATTTCAACAATCACCAACAGCTTTTGTGATTACATCATATCTCAAAATTTTATTAATAAAATAATTAACTAAACTATAAATTAATATAAAATATAATAGGTATATTGAAAGAATAATTAAGTGCTGAAGAATTTCCTGAAAATGCCGGACTATAGGTGAATTAGAAAATTAAAACCAATTCTTCATTAATAGGTAAGGTTTATTGCAGCAGTAGCCACATAGTTTTGTTTTTATTAGTTGCACAAATTGATGACGTTTGTGTATTCTTTCCTTGCTCCAACTGTACTTTTTTTCTACTGCAAAACATAAAAATTTGCAAAAAAAAAGATGTCAACTGCAGATCTTACCTAATCCTAACCAGTATAAACACCATAACAACTGTTTATAGAAGCGTTGTACTATTCTATGGTGTGGTCCTTGGAAATTTATCAATATATACAATAATAATACTGAGGTCAGAACAGCTAAGACCAACTTCTTAGATGCTAATATTCTGAAAATGAAAATCAGGAGTTACTTTGTGCAATACTAAATGAGGTTCATAGGATAAAATAGATGATATGTGCATGTTTCATACCATACACTAAGCAGGGTACAAAGCAATATATGTTACCAAAGAACTGAAAATAACAGCTACACTGGTTATCTACTTATAACCACTTTAAAAATGATCTGTATCACTTTAATACTTCCAAGTCAATAATATGCTTCTACAGTTTGGAATCCTGTAATAACCAGAACATTTAAAATTTGTTTGTGAGGTGCGTTACTTTTTGAATAGACTAAACGAAGTAAAAAGGAAGGCACTGTAGGTAGACAAAAACATTGCAGATCTGACCATGTTGTTCAAAATTTTAAATGGTGTCTTAGTTTTAGTTAGTAAAGTTCTATATTTATTTTAGTAGTTATTATCTGTATTTATCGAAACAGCACCAACACGAAACGACGTGAAACAAACGATTGGAGCCCTGAAGAGTTTTCTTTCTCTATGATTATTAGACTATCTGTTGGATTGTTGACCTCTGTGTTTGTGCAAGGACACATTAACTGGTTATCTCCCCATACTTAAGAGCTAGCTCAATGAGTATATCAAAGAATGGGATATTTTGGGGTAAGCTCGTTTATTCTTTCCCTAATTTTATATATGTATTTTCACTCAGATTTATCGGGTATTTTCTAGTCGGGAGTTTACAATCATTGTAGAGGAAAATCCATACATGTTGGAGTTTGTATATATGTTACATGATAATTACTTATCTAATGAGATAACAATCCTTCCATTCATGCTGATTAGAAAGGTCAGGCGAATTTACTAAAATGGATTATTAAAGAGGAAGGAACTCCACAATTATATCCTTCATCAGTTTGTGATGGCTAACATAATTATACAAAATTAAATCACAAAACAAAATCTAAAATCATGTTTCTCCACAGATCCTTGAAATAAACATTTGCCTCTGTAGAACAATTATTCAAATAAGAAATTGAAATGAAAATTAACATAGTTATGTGAAGGTAATTATACTAAAAGAAGGTTCTCATTTCATTCTTGTCTAATGAAAATCCTTGAAGTCAAATTTTTGTTTACATAAAAAGGATGCTGATGAACAATAGATTACTTACTTTTTTCCATAAGTCGATAATAATACATAGCATTCCCTAAAAAAATATTCTATAGTTATAAGCGGTCTTTTCCACAAAACTATGCTTTCTCTTTCTGTTTTTTCTTTCTTTTTTTGCTCTTCAGTGCTTTTATTTTTAGTGTGATTTTGAACTGTGTCGCCGTTTTGCTGAGCAGTTGCATCTTTTCGTTTTGTCTGATTAACCATTTTATTTCCCAGTCTCTGTAGCTGAAACAAATAAATATAAATGAGAATTGCGATTAATATTGAAGGAAAAAAAATACCACAAAGAAACATGGAAAACCCAAGCACATCGAAACAAACAATCTAAAAAGTTTAGAAATCAGTGGAGGACTTCAAAATACAAGAAACATAAAAGGTCTTTTGACAAATACGTTTCATTCATAAATTATCACTTCATATTCTGTATTTTGAGTAACAATAACGGTTTGGCACGAGTCTAGCGTCCAGCTAAGAATGTAATAATAATTTTGGGCACTCTGTAAAATCGATTCTCATACCTATTAATAAACAAAAATCATACATCCCGTTGTTTGAATCGCTCTGATAATTATAAAGTACGAAATTAAATTTTGGACGAACTCCAAATCGATTTAAAAAATTAAGACCAGACAGTCAACTCACACTAGAATAACGATCATAGTCCAATGGCACATTCTCAATGTCAATTATTATAAACTCTCTCGAATCGTTGACGTGACTTGTTGTACCCATTGGAAGTGAACAAGGAAAAACCATTACAGTTCCAGCTCATTAATTGGACAAAATAAACAATTCTCAATTATAAATTATCACAGAAAACAATAACAGTTTACTACGAAGTTATTTTCGGAGGTCACAGTATCAAACGTGATTTATAGTCAGAACGGTTATTTATTGAATAACAGTTTTGGAAAAGATTGGGTAGGAAAAGTCATGGAATACTGAATCTTTTATCAATTCAAAAAATAAACCTTATCAACCGTAGTAGTGCGACCCTCTATAATCTGAACAATCTTCATAATACGAGGGATGTTTAAAAAGTTGTAGATGTAGGGTTGTAGCTGCAATTTTTTTTTGTTTTACTAATTTTCATCAATAATAACAAATCAATTTTTCGAAATAATCTCCGTTTGATTGAATAATTTCAGTGCGAAATCAATTCTTTCAAACCATTTTTAAAGCTTCAGTACACATTGATATATATATCTTGTCTTAAGAAGGTGCCATCTGTTGCATCGACAAAAAACTCAAATTTTGCTTTTTCGAAATGAAAAAGAGTGAGCGATCTGTTACAAAGCCGGAATTCGACATCGACCACTGAATGAGAAATCGCTTTCTTTCCTTGCAGCTTTCAGGTTCAGGCAACTTGATGAAAACCAGAGCCCAAAAGCGGCTTGGCAACAGGTCGTTAAGGATAATAGAGACCAACACTCCATTCGTGGTTCAGACAAGTAGGTACCACTGATAACACTACTTCAAGTCAAAACTGTGCTGGGAAATAAGTAATAATAATCAGAAGCCAGTACGCGGTGAATAAGGTGGATGTGGAAATTGCTAGCGTTTGAAATTTTCCTCGTTTTTCATGCATATTATTATTTTTTAAATAACCGTCGCTTCAGCAACTGCTTATTGCTGTAATTGTTATTGGGGGTGTTTACCATTGCGAGGCTTTGGACGTCATCTTTATGAGACCCTTGCCTGTTGTATGTAAATTGAAAATAGGCATTTCTGATATGAGTGATAAAAGATGATCTACAGTGCGATCCATACGTATGGAATAAATTCATTTTTAGCGTTATTATGTACTATGTGAAAAAAACCTGCACCAGGTCGATTTTTATTTTCGAATTGACAATTTACAGTATGAAAATATTATCATCCTCCAGCACCCCTTCTGAATTATAAGCACCCCCTCGAAAATTTTAAATAGCAAAGGGGGTCGTGTGGCATCTTGTTGGAAAGGGATTTTAGTCCTCTGTTCAGCAATATAAAGTTTTTTAAGTTTGGTGCAATCGTAACTGGAAAAATTGATTTTTAGAATGTGAAATTTTGATAATGTCTCTAGGTATCACATAACTTTACGTAGAATGAAGATAATAATGCCACATAATATTTAGAATGTATTTTTCAATGTACTTTACAATTAAATTGAATGTTCAAAATGACCACCATTGACTTGACAATAACCGAGGCGATTTTGGAATTCTCGTACAACATTTTGTATGGCCTCGGGGGTTATTTTGTTAATTTCTCCGTTATCCTAACTTTTAAATCAGCAATATTGTTTGGTCTATTAAAATATACTTCAGATTTGAAATAACCCCATAAGAAGTAATCGAAAGGAGTCAAATCGGGGGATCTAGCCGGCCATTCGATCGTTCCACGTCTTCCAATCCACCTATTGGGAAAAACCTCGTTTGAATAATTTCTAACTGTACGTGCAAAATGCGGTGGAGCTCCGTCTTGTTGGTAGTAAGTAGTTCGATCTATCTCATTTGGATGATTAACATCGGGAAAATGTATTTGTAATGTAGGCACTAAAAAGTTAATCAAAAAATCTAGATAAACCTCACCATTAACAGTGTCCCCAAAAAAATAAAAAAAATCTGTTTAAAATCTGTTTTTCCGTTAATCAGCTGCCGCCCCCATACGAACGACAACTCTCAGAAGTTAAGAAACTTGTGCGAGCTAAGGACTAACGAGATCTTACCTTTTAACGTGTGATTCCTAACACGGGCCAATAATTTTATTGTTAATGATACCAACCCAAAAGTTAACTTTTTTAGGATATTGAGTGTGAGTCGCACACATCCAGTGAGGATTTTCTCTCCTCCAATATCTACAGTTCTGTCTGTTAACTGTTCCGTTTAAATAAAACATCGCTACATCAGAAAATACTATTTTGTTTATGAACTGCAAATCTGCGTTCATCCTGTTTGTTCATAATCAATTCACAGAATTCTTGCCTTCTATCAGGATCATCTTCATTTAACTCCTGAACCAACTGAACTTTGTAAGGGTGGTATTTTTCTTTATGCAAAACTCTCAAAATAAATGATTTACTTACATCATTGTCGGCTGCAAGTTCTCGAGTTGTCTTATGCGTATTTTCCTCAATCTCTAGAAGTACATCTAACTTTTTTTCATCAGTAACAGTAACATTTCTACCTGGTTTTCCTATATTTTTTACATGTCCAGTTTCACGAAACTTTTTTTCAATTTTGCTAACTGTAGACTGCGACACGTGTTGACCAGGGTATTTATTATTAAAAATTTCACAAACCTCCTTTCGAGTTCTTGTTTTATTTCCACAACCAATCATAATTGAAATGTCTATTCTTTGAGTCTCGGACAAATGAGCCATAATTAAATTTAATATGCCCACAAATATTATACCGACGTCTTTTAGTAACTTTAAATACCTAAATGACAGCAGCCTACTAGATTCATATCAATTGTTTATTTGGCTTTTTGTCTAATATTTTAGTATCTTCAAAGATTTTTTCCAGGATTCAAGGTTAGTAAGGAGCGTGTTACAGGGATGGTCTATTTAATAGATCAGGTTATTATCAAGAAGTGGATAATGGTGGTCAATTTCAACATTTAATTTAATTGTAAAAATTAATTTTCTCAGTTATGATTGCACCAAACTTAAAAAACTTTATATTGCTAAACAGAGGACTAAAATCCCTTTCCAACAAGGTGCCACACGACCCCCTTTGCTATTTAAAACTTTCGAGGGGGTGCTTATAATTCAGAAGGGGTGCTGGAGGGGGATAATATTTTCATACTATACATTGTCAATTTAAGAATAAAAATCGGCCTGTTTCAGGTTTTTTTACATAGTACATAATAATGCTAAAAATGAATTTATTCCATACATATGGACCGCACTGTATGTAAGAGGATTTGGAAAAAATAAAAATTAAGCCAATTTTCCATCATGAAAAAACTAAAGTGCTTACCCTCAAATTAGAAGATACCTAGTTAGTAATTTGAAAATAAAGTTGGTGACTTTTATTAAGACCAACATTTTCAATTGAAGTATTACAATCTAACGAATAATAAGACTTAGCGGCGAATTTTTAATGATGAATGCCTTAAATGATAAACCTACTCAGGTATTTGAAAATGGAGTTGGCGACTTTTCTTGAAACTTGAATCTCCATTTGAAGCATACAATTTGAAGAGCTACATCACTTTCAAATGAGAGAATAGTAGGAGCCGAAAACCGAATTTTGTCATCATATTAACGTTCAAATGTCCGTCACGGCTTCTCTGGGTGAAGCGCATCCGAAACGTCCAATATTCCTTGACTCTGGCGCATAAATCAGTCTGAATTTGACAGATGGCATGGGTTATGTTGGCTTTAAGGACCGCTGTAGTTTGTGAAGTATTCGCTTACACCTGCAACCCCACAAGAAAAAGTCTAACGGGGTCAAATCGCACGATTTCGGTGGCTAGTTCACATCATCTACACGTGAGAGGACCATGCCCTCAAATCGCTCGCGCAGAGTATCCGATGTGGCATGAGCTGTGTGGCACGTACCGCCGTCCCGTTGAAACCACATGTCGTTGGTGTCCAGAATATCCAATTCAGACCAAAAGAAGTTGATCATCATCGACCTATAGTACTCGCCGTTGACAGTGATGGCCTGGCCAACGTCATTCTCAAAGAAATATGCACCGATGACGCCGCCGGCCCAAAACCCACACCAAACAGCGGCTTTTTCGGGATGCATTGGCCGCTCTTGAATCTCATGTGGATTGGTATCGTTACTAATTCGATAATTTTGTTCACGTATCCATTCATCAAGAAATGGGTCTCATGGCTAAGATGATTTTTTGATGGAAATTAGGGTCCGTTGAGTTGTCAACTGCTCCAGAGCCCATTCAGCGAACACACGTCGCGTCATTGTCTACGGTCATTTATCTTCAGTTCCTGGGTCGGTTGAATTTTATTTGAGTGCAAGCTCAAGTCACGACGCGAAATTCCACAAGTTGTGGTCTGCGAAAGGCCGAGTTCTTGTAAGCGACGCGAAATCGACTGTCTAGGATTCTCCTGCACGCTCTCACAGACAGGGGCTGTATTATCAGCAGATATTCCGTTTCGTCGACGTATGGGTGTTTGTCGATAGTTTACTGAACCAGTGGACTCAAATTCATCCGCCACATTGCGAATAGTCCTCTCGGTAGGACCATTATGGCGACCGTAAAATGGTTGA